TGGTATTTTTGGCCACTGTGTGACACAGTGTGGGACTGGATAGGCCATTGGCCTGATCCAACATTGGCATCTCTTATCTTCTTAGGAGCAGAAGTCCATCAGTAGCTATTAGCCACAAGGTATAGACAGGAACTCTCGGTCTGGGGCAAGGGATGCTCTGTATTCTTGGTGCTTGGGGGGGTCAACAGTGGGAGGGCTTCTAGTGTCCCGGCCCCACTGGTGGACCTCCTGATGGCACCTGGTATTTTTGGCCACTGTGTGACACAGTGTGGGACTGGATAGGCCATTGGCCTGATCCAACATTGGCATCTCTTATCTTCTTAGGAGCAGAAGTCCATCAGTAGCTATTAGCCACAAGGTATAGACAGGAACTCTCAGTCTGGGGCAAGGGATGCTCTGTCTTCTTGGTGCTTTGGCAGGGGGGGGGAACAGTGGGAGGGCTTCTAGTGTCCTGGCCCCACTGCTGGACCTCCTGATGGCACCTGGTATTTCTGGCCACTGTGTGACACAGAGTGTTGGACTGGATGGGCCTTTTTCCTGATCCAACATTGGCGTCTCTTATGTTCTTATGTTCAGACGGCACCCGATGCTCCGGCCTTGAAGATAAAGCACAGTTGGCCAACAGGTGCTGCAGCATTTGTGCAGGCCTGTTAACCCCGGAGCTGGGCATGATTCAGGCACAGGGTCCCCTGCCAACCCAGAGGAGGAAGACACCATGCCGAGGGGTGGAACCTTTCTTTTCTCCAAAAAACAGGATCAAATTTTAAGCAACCCTCCCAAGTAGGACACCTTTTAATAAATAGGTCGTGAGCGTTAAAAATAGCCCTTCCCCCCCTATGACCTGACGGCACAGGTCGCGGGACCAGGATAGTGTTCCCTCTAAGCTGAGTTAGTGTGAGCTAGCTCACAGTTTTTTAGCCTCCGGCTCACACGTTTTTGTCTTGGCTCAGGAAGGAGGGCTCCAGAGCAAACTAACTTACGCAGTAGCCAAATGGCTCACTCACAACTTTAATGCCCGTCGCTCCCAAAGTAGAGTTTTTGCTCACAAGACTCCACAGCTTAGAGGGAGTATTTTGGCCTTGCTCGGGCGTTTCAAAGAGCTCTGCTCTTCCAAACATGGACATGGTCGTTCCCTGGGCCCTACGCTGTGGCCTAGAATAGCACACCTTGGAATGACTGAGAAGTTCCTGGCTTGAGCAGGTGCAAGGGGGCTTCTATGCACCCCCCCGTCAATGCTCCCTCTAAGCCATGGAGCCCCGTGAGCAAAATTCCTACTTCATGAGCTAGTGGCATTAAAGCTGTGAGCGAGCAACTTGGCTACTGCATATATTAGTCTGCTCTGGAGCTTATCTTTCCTGAGCGAAGACAAAAATGTGTGAGCCAGAGGCTAAAAAACTGCGAGCTGGCTCACACGAATGCAGCTTAGAGGGAACACTGCAGTCCCAGTTGTCCTTAGGGGAGCATCTCGGTTGCCTTGGAGAGGGACCAGCTGGCCGTGAGCAAGGAGACCCGAGTTGCCGCATGATGGAGTGAGCTCCCGTCTCTAGTTCCAGCTCCTGCCAACCTAGCAGTTCGAAAGCAAGAAATTGCAAGTAGATAAATAGGTACCACTTCGGTGGGAAGGGAACAGCGTTCCGTGTGCCTTGGTGTTTAGTCATGCCGGCCACATGACCACAGAAACGTCTTCGGACAGCGCTGGCTCTTCGGCTTTGAAACGGAGATAAGCACCACAACCCTAGAGTCGGACTCGACTGGCTTTCGAGCAAGGGAACCTTTACCTTTACCTTTTTATCCAATCATTATTATCAAGCCTTTATATTATGGCGCAAACGACAAAAGACATCCCAATACAAAATATACAGATATTTAAAGTGTCCTCGTAACTCTCTGTGCTCAAACTCTCTGTGCTCAAAGTTCCTCCATGTAATACAGCTCAAAGTGGCTTTACAGAGTCCTCCTTTGATGCAGGTGTAAATTATTCCAAACATCTGATCAACTGTCGTGGCTCCAAGGGGCCAGCTCCACACCCATGTCCGGTCCTTTACCAAGGTACCATGGAAGTCAAAAAAGTGTTTTTCCTTTGCTTGTTCAGTCTGTTTTGAGGAGCGTTTGACCCTGCAGACCTTGAAATCTATGTTTGCATTCAGCTTGATACAGTGATACAGCATGAGTGCTGGAGGCGGGCAACTCTTATGCGGACCTGCGGAGCCAGCTTTTTTGACGCAGAGAAATTTAATTATTTCAAGTATCTCAGCAGCTGTCGTGGCTCCCATGGCCCCAACAGGCCAGCTCCGTACCCGGGCCCAGTCCTCTACCAAGGTACCGCGGCAGTCAAGGATGTTTTTTCTTGTCCACTTATTCAGTTTGTCTCAAAGAGTGTTTTCCATGGCAGACCTTGAAATCTACATTTACGCAGCAGGGGTCGGCAGCTGCCTGGGGCATTTCGTGGAGAGTGTGTCAGTGGGGCCCGTCAGGCGATTCCAAAGAAAGAATGTTAATTGTGCTGCTGTTGTTGTTCAGTCGCACAGTCGGGTCCGCCTCTTCGCGACCCCATGGACAAGATCACGCCAGGCCTTCCTTTCAGCTTGATACAGCATGAGTGCTGGAGGCTGGCAACTCTTATGCGGACCTGTGGAGCTAGCCTCTTTGACGCAGATAAATTTAATTATTTCAAGTATCTCAGCAGCTGTCGTGGCTCCTGTGGCCCCAACGGGCCAGCTCCGCACCCGGGCCCAGTCCTTTACCAAGGTACTGCGGCAGTCAAGGATGTTTTTTCTTGTCCGCTTATTCAGTCTGTCTCGAAGAGTGTTTTCCATGGCAGACCTTGAAATCTACGTTTACATTCAGCTGAACGCAGCAGGGGTCGGCAGCTGCCCAGGGCATTTGGTGGAGAGTGTGTCAGTGGGGCCCCCAGGCGATTCCAAAGAAAGAATGATAATCGTGCTGTTGTTGTTCAGTCGCACAGTCGAGTCTGACTCTTCACGACCCCATGGACCAGCTCCAGCCAGGCCCTCCTGTCTTCCGCCGTCCTCTGAAGTTTGCTCAATTTCATGATCGTTGCATCTATGACACTGTCTAACCATCTCATCCTTTGCCGTCCCCGTCTTCTTTGACCTTCAATCTTTCCCAGCATCAGGGTCTTCTCCAGTGAGTGCTCCCTTCTCATTGGGTGGCCAAAGTATTTGAGCTTCAGTTTCATTACCTGGCCTTCCAGGGAACAGTCAGGGTTGATTTCTTTTAGGATTGACTGATTTGATCTCCTTGCAGTCCAAGGGACTCTCAAGAGTCTTCTCCAGCACCATAGTTCAAAAGAATCTATTCCTGGGCGCTCGGCCTTCCTTATAGTCCAACTCTCACAGCCATACATGACTACTGGGAATACCATTGCTTTGACCATGCGGACTTTTGTTGGCAGGGTGATGTCTCTACCTTTTATCATGCTGTTGAGGTTCGCCATCGCTTTCCTTCCAAGGAGCAGGTGTCTTTTAATTTCATGGCTGCTGTCACAGTCTGCGGTGATCTGGGATCCCAGAAACGTGAAGTCTGTCACTACTTCCACGACTTCCCCTTCTATTTGCCAAGGAGTGATGGGGCCGGATGCCATGATCTTAGTTTTTTTGATGTTGAGCTTCAAGCCCACTTTTGCGCTCTCCTCTTTTACTCTGAGCAGGAGGCTCTTTAGGTCCTCTTCCCTTTCTGCCATTAGAGTGGTATCGTCTGCATATCTGAGGTTGTTGATCTTTCCCCCAGCAATCTTAATTCCCGTTTGTGATTCATCCAGGCCAGCATTTCGCATGATGTACTCTGCATATATATTAAATAAGCAAGGTGACAGTATACATCCTTGTCGTACTTGTTAATCGTGCTACTAACTGGTTATTGGCACACGGAGGAAGCAATCGTTCCAAGGGAAATAGCCGACTTCCTCTGTTTGCCAATGATGCACAGCAGCTGCCCCCCCAAGGAACAGCGCTTCTTCTCACGTGTGGGAGAGAGGGAGGAAGGCCTCTTCTAGTGTTTTGTAAGGAGTTGTGCTAAAAAGGATTAACGTCTTTAAAAAAAAAAAAGTAGCTGAAGCATGACACCAAGCAGGGGAGAGCATTTTCAAACGGAGCGTGTGCCCTCTAACCCACGGATCGGATCCTCAGTAAAGTCTCTGCAGATGGAACCGGGGATTCCCCTTCCCTCCTCTCCCCCCCCCCCCAGTTCTGCCCCGTCAAAAGCATGAGGGAGGCATCGTGTGGGGGGGGGGGGGGGGGAGGATTGGCCAGCAGGATTTTCTGCTGGATCAAACCCCAAGTAGATTTGGCACTCATATTCCAGATGCCAAGGGCCTTGCCAGCTCTGGGCTGGGAAATACCAGGAGATTCGGGGGGGGATGGATCTGGGAGAGGGCAGAGTTTTGGGGTGAGGAGGGACCTCAGGAGAGCACCATGCAATAGAGTCCGCCCTCCAAAGCATCCATTTTCTCCAGGGGAGTAGATGTCTGTGTCTGGAAATCAGTTGTAAAAGTGGGAGATCTCCAGGCCCCACCCTGGAGGCTGGCAACCCAACAGATGCAGGAAATACAAACACTGGTTTAGTAGCTGCCCACGTGAGCCCGCCTTCCCTACAGGTATTTTCTGCAAGAGATACAGGCATCAATTTGTATTTCCCTCACCTGCCCAATGACACCGTAGCATTATGCATCATTGAATCTCTTGTAAACACAGCCTTGGATTGTACAAAACGTCCCCCTCGTCTTCTTGCCTCAGAGCTTGCCATTTGGGGTGGGCGAGCCAAGAAGTCCCGTTGAGTGAATTCAGATGGGTGGGCAGCTACTTCGTGCTACTAGGAATGGGTTTCTTACACCCCCTGCCTGGGTACACTTTTTCCAGTCTTGAATTTGGCCAGAAAGCAAGGCAGCAGGTTTGCTCTTGAAGCTGCCTGGAAACGGTGGCTAGAGACGTTGTGGGCTGAGAGAATGAGCTGGGGTACTGAGGAGGAGGAGGAGGAGGAAGAGATTGGATTTATACCCCGCCCTGCACTTGGAGTCTCAGAGTGGCTTACAATCTCCTTTCCCTTCCCCTCCCCAAAACAGACACCCTGTGAGGTGGATGGGGCTGAGAGAGCTCTTTCGAGGACTGCCCTTGAGAGAACGGCTCTGAGAGAACTTGTGACTGACCCAAGGTCATCCAGCAGCTGCAAGTGGAGGCGTGGGGAATCAAACCCGGTTCTCCGAGATCAGAGTCCGCGCTCCTAACCACCACACCAAACTGGAGTGAGATCACATTGCCACCAGCGCTGCCAGCAAGTGGGCTTGCTTCTTACTTGCTCAGCCTGTATCTGTGTTAATAGGCAGATGAGGTGAAATTCCCATATGGCCTCGATACAGAGCAGTTCCTCACAGGCCCCTGGAATTCCCCGAAACTCAGGAGAGGATGGAGAATGGCATAGCAGGACCATCTTTTCTGAGCTTTTGCCCACCTGCAAGAGGGTGGGAGACAGGATGGGTGGGGGGTGTTTCTTTCCCCCAGTGGTCCAGATCAGTGTTCCCTCTAAGCTGAGTTAGTGTGAGAACATAAGAGAAGCCAACGTTGGATCAAGCCAGTTTGGTGTTGTGGTTAAGTGCACGGACTCTAATCTGGGAGAACCGGGTTTGATTCCCCACTCCTCCACTTGCAGCTGCTGGATGACCTTGGGCAAGCCATAGTTCTGGCACAGCTGTCCTTGAAAAAGAGCAGTTTCTGTCAGAGCTCTCTCAGCCCCACCGACCTCCCAGGGTGTCTGTTGTGGGGAGGGGAAGGGAAAGGAGTTTGTAAGCCGCTCTGAGATTCCCTTGGGTAGTGAAGGGTGGGGTATAAATCCAATCTCCTCTTCCTCCTCCTCCTCCTCCTCTTCTTCTTGCCAAGAGACATTCAGAGGTGGTTTTGCCATTGCTTGACTCTGCATAGGAACCCTGGACTTCCTCATTGTTCTCCCATCCAAGGACGAACCGGGGCCGACCTTGCTAGTCCTAGGCTAGTCTGGGCTATCCAGGTCAGGGCAATTCACCTACATGCACAGAGCAAATAGTAAACTGTGGTGGAGCCTCGAAATGCCTGTTCAGAAACTCTTCCCTCTTTGTGTCCACACACTCTTCCCTCTTTGTGTCTACACACTCGTCAGCTTTAGGAACACGGGCATCCAGCAAAGTGCGCTCTAGTCCACGAAACTGACACTTGTTAGTCTTGGAGGTGCCTCCAGATCCCGCTGCCTTTGCATTCTTGTAGATGTCATCGGAAAGAAAAGAGAGTCAGTTCATCACTGTGCACACGATTGCAATAAAGTTGGCCACCTTTTAAAAATAGGTATGCTGTGCCTTTAACGTGCATAACAGGGGTCGCATGTTAAAGGCTCAGATAAATAAATAAACACACACACACACACACACACATAGAGAGGTGAAGGCCCGGAAAAAAACTGGAAAATTTTTGGGAAAAAACCGTTTCCCCCCCGTTTTTTTCCTGAAGACTTTTTGGTTTTTTTCTGAAAAATTGGAAAAATTGAAAAAAGAAAAAAATTTACTATGGAACATTTTATTTTAACATGATGAATAAAATATTTTAAGACAAGATGTTCAAATATTTCACTGGAAATTAGATTGATCTAATTTCTGTGCACGATGACAAGCAAGTCCTAGGTTACAAACTGAACTCTCCAATGCAAGAACAAGATGCATTTCTTCCTTTAGGAGGTGCTATTGTCAGAAGAAAAGAAAAAAGGTTTCAGTTTTGTTTTTGCATGTGGGTGGGTATTCTGCTCGTAATAATTGTTTGGATACACTATATTTTTAATATGCTAGTTGTGATAATTTCATGCCAAGTAAAAATGTCCATAGTCATATTTTATGTTCCTAAAGCAACAGAATGACTTTTGATCTAGAAAAGACAAAAGAAATTCTAATGTAGCATTTTTTTCAATTTTTCCGAAAATTTCTGTTTCCCCCCGAAAAAAAACTGGGAAAAAATGGGTTTTTTTCCGAGCTTCAAAATTTCCAGAAATTTTACATCTCTACACACACACACACACACACACACACACACACACACACACACACATATATATATAAAGATAGCCCTACGCGTGGAGCATATTCAGAAGTTCCCTAACTGTAGCATCAGGACAAAGTTTGAATTTGGTGGCACCTTTAAGACCCACTGGGTATAAGCTTTCATGTTCAAACTTTGTTCTGCTGCTTCAGACCAACACGGTGTCAAATTCGGTCTCTAGTTTGCCATGATTTGGGGTTTGTAGAGGGAGGGAAATCGCTGAGGGGGTAGTGTGAGTGGCTGAGTGTGTGAACTGCCCTGTTGTAGATGATGTAACTCTTCCTAAGATACCTCCCTTGTACAGGGACAACCTTGGAGCCAAACTGCACCTCCCTCGCTATCCTAGATAAAGAAACCGTATATTCACAGGTGGGGGTGTAGAAAGCGTAAAAGCTAGGTGGGAAGCTTGTGGAGTGTAATTGGATGTAACTGAAGGGGGGGGCCTTCGTTTGAACTGTCTATATCTTTGGATTCTTCCGCCAGAACCTCAGTTCTGACACAGTATCGGTCTGGCCTGGAACATGCTTATTTCTCAATAAACAAATCACTGCCAGAGAGTGTTGTTGAGAGTAACTTTGTCCAGGGGTCTGACACACGGCGACCCACCAGTGTTCCCTCTAAGCTGAGTTAGTGTGGGCTAGCTCACAGTTTTATAGCCTCCGGCTCGCACGCTTTTGTCTTGGCTCAGGAAGGAGGGCTCCAGAGCAAACTAATTTATGCAGCGGCCAAATAGCTCGCTCACAGCTTTAATGCCAGTAGCTCACAAAGTGGAATTTTCACTCACAAGACTCGACAGCTTAAAGGGACCACTGGACTCCCCACTTGAATCTATTTTCCTGAGTAGCGTCAGGGGACGCCCTTGGGAAGGGTCCCTAGAGAGAGTCGCTGCCTGCCAACCTCCGCCTTGTGTCTTCCAGCACTCCCCCTTCCCTTTGATCCTCTCACTGGAAAACCACTGCGGTCTGGAGCAGCAATCCATCATGGCGCGGCACATGAAGACCATCTTGGGGGACATGCTGCTGACTCTGCCGCTGGACGGAGACACGCCCAAACAGCTCCCCTCCCCAGAGGTAAAGCCGCTTGGCTACTGTTTACTGCCACTCTCAAAGAGCTACTTAGCGTCCGTGTTGTGCTAAGCAGTGTGCGGGATTCAGATGTGACAGTGTGAGCCCGTGGAAATCTGGCAAGGGGCTTTGAGGAGGAATTTGAGCCAGCTTGGTGTCGTGGTTAAGTGCGCGGACTCTGATCTGGGAGAACCGGGTTCGATTCCCCCACTTGCACCTGGCTGGATGACCTTGGGCAAGCTGTAGTTCTGATAAGAGCTGTTCTTGAAAAAAGAGCAGTTTCTGTCAAGAGCTCTCTCAGCCCCACCTACCTCACAGGGTGTCTGTTGTGGGGAGGGGAAGGGAAAGGAGTTTGTAAGCCGCTCTGAGACACCTTTGGGCAGTGAAGGGTGGGGTATAAATCCAACCACCTCCACCACCACCACCTCCACCACCACCTCCACCACCTCCACCACCACCACCTCCACCACCTCCACCACCACCTCCACCACCACCACCTCCTCCTCCTCCTCCTCCTCCTCCGAAGGAGAGGAAGGAACTCGTTTGTCAGAGTTTACGACCTGGACAGCTGGAAAGGCAGGGTGGGAATTCCCCACATAAAAAAAATAAAATAGCCACATCACAGATGCTGTCCAATAGGTACTTGTTGCGAGTGGGACACTTGTACAAGCACGTTCCCTCATGGCAGTCGAAGCAGATAGTGATGCAGTATCTGGAGGGAGGAGGAACTTTGGGTCAGTCGCTCTGTTCCCTGGTACAAAATATTGCTGGCCAGAGTGCTGGGAAAATATGGTGTTCCCTCCACAGACGGTACAATGTTGATGGATTATGGAATAAGCTGATCTTGTGGAAGTGCCCTCCTAATGGCCGCTCCAGGATTTTGAAGGCCCTCAAGTCAAGCGAAGGGCCCGTGAGTTCTCCACCGCTGTCTTTGACCATCTTGGATGACCTGTGCTACAGGTGGCACTACCAACTCTACTCCTGTGTTAAATGGATCATCGAAATGCAAAATTTCAGAATAATATCCACCTGGTACAAAACTCCTAAACAAATATCATACATTGCAAATAATTCAAGCCCACTTTGCTGGAGGGGGTGTAAGGAAATAGGCAGTTACATACACTGCTGGTACGATTGCCTGGAGGTAGCATCCTTCTGGGATAAAATAATAGAAGAAATAACGATCATAACCAAAATCAAGATAGACAAATCCCCGGAAGCGCTGCTTTTAAATCTCAGAGAGGAAAATGCTCTATCTAATACACAAAGGGAAAGAATCTCTCTATTACTGTTTGCAGCCAAAACCACATTAGCAGCCACATGGAAATCCACGAGTAGGCTAAATGTAAACCTCTGGTACAAAAAGCTATGGAACCTTTATATAATGGAGAAAATCTCAGATACTCTGAAACAAAATCTATCTAGAGGTGGTCAGAATGACGTTGTATGCATATGGTACCCCATACTAGTACATCTATCTACCAAAGAAACAGTACCTGATGTAATAAACACTCTGCATCTATGGTAATTTTCAAACTGTATAATACCGACAAATTGTATGAAATGTATGAAGCCACTGAGAGCTATGCTCATGCTTACCTTGTAAATCTTTGCTGTTTATAAAAATGAATAAAAATTATCTGTTAAAGAAATGCCACTTTAGAGACTTTTAAAAGAAGTTTTAAGCGGCTTGGTTTTCCTCTTCTCAACCCCCACAGCAGTTAAAGTGGAAGATCTTAGTGAAGGGGAAGAAGCTTCCAGATGACAAGATTGACTCAGAAAGAGGGAGTTTCACCTCCAGTCACGAAGAGGAGACTGAGGAGGATGAAGACGAGAGGGTGAGAATACATTTGACTCCAAGAAGTGAGCCCTGGGAAAAGCCTTCCTCACCAGAGCTTATACCAGCGTTTCCAAATCTCTTGATGATTGGCAGGGCAGAATATCCCCCCCCCCCTGAATTGCAATGGGAGACAACCTAACTCATATACCAAAAACATTTTCCTTTGCAGGGCTATTTTTGGGTAGGAACACGCAGGAACGGAGTTCCGGCTGGCTCCCAAGTTGGCCACGCCCAGCAGGAACTCATTAGCATAATAGGCCACACCCAACAGCAGGCACTCATTAGGATTGGCTACAATTAGGGGTGTGTGGCCTAACATGCAAAGGAGTTCCTGCTCCAAAAAAATCCCTGGGTTTTGACAACAAACAAGGTAAAGAGAATAAGAAGCAAAAGGTGGGTGTGGCTGGATGACCACACTTCTGGTAACATGGGGGTGTGGCCTAATATGTGAATGAGCTGTGTGGTCAGGGGTGTGGCCTAATATGCTAATTAGTTCCTGCTGTTGGGTATGGCCTATTATGCTAATGAGTTCCTGCTAGGCTTTTTCTACAAAAAAAGCCCTGTCCTTTAGAAAGCATAATGACTGTTTGTGAGAGTTACTGCTCTGGCTGTTTCTCTTGGTTGGACAAAAACAAGGCCAGGGCAGCGGCTCATGAAGAGACACCACAAGCAGGTAATCATGTCCTGAGTCTCGGGGGCAACTGAATATCCTGTCAGAGATGAGGCAGAACTGCTTCCCTGCTGCAGAGACTGGTTGGAAGGCAGCCAGGCCAGAATCAGGAATCACACAGAGACAGAGCAGGCAGCCTCCTCAGCAAGTGGGCACTTTGGGTACATGGGAGCCTTTAGTCCCTTTGACTGCGATCACACACACGTAAATCCACTTCCAATGCACTTTCCAACTGGATTTTACAGTGTGAACTGGCAAAATCCAGTTGGAAAGTGCATTGGAAGTGGATTATTTAGTGTGTGTGATCACAGCCGTAGCCGGTTGCCACACCCAACAGTTCTCTCGTGGTGTTTGGACTGAATGCTTTAGGCCAACTTGACAGTTCATGTTTTGTGAGGCTCGTGTTCCGTATTGCCCAGAGCGGCTAAGCTGGCTTGCCGAGTGGCTTTGCTCCACTCTCAGGAGCCCAGCTTTTGCAAAACCTGCCCCTAGTTTAGTTCCCAAGAACATTGTCTATGCCGCAATGTGGTTTATTTTATTCAAGACGTCGGTGTGATCCTTGGGATCAAAATCAAGAGGGCGGGCAAAGTTTTGGAGGTGTCTCTACCCTGAAATTGGTTTAACGGGCACCCTTTCTGAGTGCAAGGAGGGTGGATCCGCTTGCTCTCACCCTTCCTGCCAGCCAGCCTGGGAAAGAGGTTAGAGTCCTGGGCTGGGACTTGAGAGAGCCAGGTTGAAATCGCTACGCTGCTGTGAAACTCCTTTGGTGACCTTGGGTCAGTCTCATTGGGTGATTTCCCACAAGCGCTGCTCCGCGCTCACTCTTCTCTTTGGCCCGGATGGTACGTGTCGATTTCACACAAGCTGCTGCATGGCTGCATTTTGCAGCTTCGTGCAATTTCCCTCGCGTCTACTCAATCCTGTTTTTTGAGGACTGAGTAGACGCGGGGGAAATCGCACAAAGCTGCGGGGCAAAATGTGGGCGCACAGCCGCTTGTGTGAAATTGACACGTACCATGGGGCAAACGGGAGGAGTGAGCGCGGAGCAGCACTTGTGGGAAATCACCCTCTGCCTCTCTCAGCCTGGTCTACGTCACAGGGTTGTTGTGAGGATCAAACTGGGGGCGGGGAGCCGTGCCCACCACCCTGAGCTCCATGCAAGGAGGACGGGAGAGAAAAATGCAATAGGATCTAAAATCCCGAGAGTTCTTTGGAGGAATCCGTAAGTGTTAAATGGGTGTCCGACACGGCAGAGCACAGATGTCCCTCCGGGAAGCACATCGAGATCTTTTGTCTTTCTCTTCTTTTGTCCTTCCAGTCTGCAAACTCTCTCCAGGAGATCAAACCATTACAGGTGAGTGTCCCTCGCTCAATAGTGCCGGGGAAGAAGGGAACATGATGGGCAACTCTGCCTGTCTCCAGGGCGGGCTGCAAGGTCCTTTTTCCGAGCTTCAGTATTTCCAGAAATGTTACATCTCTAGGCCGATCACACTAAGTCAGCCTAACCTACCTCGCAGGGTTGTGAGGATAGAATGGGGGGAGAGCAGAGCCCGGTATGCTGTTCTGATTTGCTTGAAAGAAGGGTAGGGGGGAGACACTCATGTGATTGGAGGGTAGCACAGCTGTGGTCAGAAAGAAAAATAAAGCATTTGCTGCCTTCTGACTGACAAGGGCTTCCTGGCCTGATTGCCTGGAGGCAACTGCTGTGCACCACAGGCGAGCTGATATGGACAGGCTTGCAGCAGTCCCCTTGCCAGGCCCTGGGAGAGGAGACTGTTAGCTCTTTGCCTCCCCAGGCCAAGGATGCCACGCAGATTTCACGGGAGCTCTCGGACGTGGTTGTCTATTGCCGGTCTGTCCCCTTCCAAAGCCTGGCGCGTGCCCTGCATCAGCAGCAGCCCACGGAGATGTCTTCGTTCAGTGAGCGGAAAGCCAGGAAGCTGATCAAGGAATCGGGTAAGAGTGGTCTCTCGGAGGGAAGATCTCTTGCGGGCAGGTGTGTTCCTGTTTGGTGTCGTGGTTCAGTGCGCGGACTCTAATCTGGGAGAACCAGGTTTGATTCCCCACTCCTCCACCTGCACCTGACTGGATGGCCTTGGGCAAGCCCTAGTTCTGATAAGGGCTGTTCTTGAAAAGGAGCAGTCTCTGTGAAGAGCTCTCTCAGCCCCACGCCAATGTTCCCTCTAAGCTGTGGAGTCTGGTGAGCAAAAATTCTACTTTGTGAGCTACTGGCGTTAAAGTTGTGAGGGAGGGATTTGGCTACTGCATAAATCAGTTTGCTCTGGAGCCATCATTCCTGAGCTGAGACCAAAATGTATGAGCCAGAGGCTAAAAAACTGTGAGCTAACTCACACTAAATCAGCTTAGAGGGAACACTGCTCGCAGGGTGTCTGTTGTGGGGAGGGGAAGGGAAAGGAGTTTGTAAGCCTCTCTGAGACACCTTTGGGTTGTGAAGGGCTTCCCAAGTCCCCCCGGGGGGAACTCCTCCCTGACGTGCACGTCACCTGAAAGTGACGCAACCACGCCAGGCACACTGGGGGCGGGGCCACGGCCATCCGAGGGAAAACTATGGTTTTCCCTTGTATGGCCGTGGCCCCGCCCCCAGCGTGCCTGGCGTCGTCACGTCACCTCCAGACGGCAATCCTAGGACCTGTCTCACACTAACTCAGCTTAGAGGGAGCCCTGGACATGACCTATGCTGGCTGCAGAATTTGCCCTTCCTTGGCAGAGCATTTGGGGCCAAAGAGCAGAGTACAACCCCAACCACTGGTCTGGGGAGGAAACACTGGCTGTTTTAAGCACAGAGCTGGTCAGAATCGGGAGAGCGCCGTCTTTCAGTCACCGGTCGTTTTTAGATGCCAGAATTAACATTTGTCGGCCAAACTGGCAAAATCCTGGCTGGCTCAAAGCCTAGTCTTCAACGCCTCCATGGACTGAGCCTGGAGACGGTGTCCTTCCTTATTGGTCAGTTGGGTACGTTAAAATTGGCATCGCTGCCGGGCATTTCTTTCTCTCCCCTTTGGCAGGAAGCTAGAGATGTCCTCTGTCTTTCAGGAAACCTTTTTGTCCGCTGCAACACTCGACACCTCAGCCGGATTTACCCCTTGGGGCTCAAGATGAATTCCTCCAATTACAACCCACAGGAGATGTGGAATGCCGGCTGCCAACTAGGTAAGTGGGGGGAGAGGGAGGCCCAAAGCTATCCCCCCGTGGGCCCTTCTGGAGGCTCCATGGGAGCGTTTGAAAGACTGGACTGCAGGGAAGGAGGCAGCCCTCAGGGCACCCTGAAGATGTTGCTTTGAATACTCGGAAGCAAAAGAATCATAGAATCATAGAATGGTAGAGTTGGAAGGGGCCTTGCAGCTCATCTAGTCCAGCCCCCTGCACTCTGCAGGAGCATAGCTGAAAGATAGCCCTACAACATATTCGAAAGATGGTCGTCCAGCCTCCGCTTGAAAACGTCCAGCAAAGGAGCACCCACCACCTCCTGAGGCAGACTGTTCCACTGCTCAACCACTCTTACAGTCAGGAAGTTTCTCCTGATATTTAGCCGGTATCGACTCCCTTGTCATTTCCACTCATTAGATCTAGTCTTGCAATCCAGAGCAAGACAATCATAGAATCATACAATGTTAGAGTTGGAAGGGGCCTTGAAGGTCATCTAGTCCAACCCCCTGCACTCTGCAGGAGCATAGCTGAAAGATAGCCCTACAACATACCCGAAAGATGGTCGTCCAGCCTCTGCTTGAAAACGTCCAGCGAAGGAGCATCCACCACCTCCCGAGGCAGACTGTTCCA